CTTGTTCGAGTTTAATTGATTATATTATAAAAAAAACCCTTGAGATCAGTGTCCGTCGATTTTTTAAAAAAATTTATTAGGGAGCTATTTTCTAAAATTTTTTCTTGGGCTTGAAGCATTGCATTAAAATTGAATCGATATAAATAAATTAGGAAAAAGGTTGGCTCTGAAGGCCATCCCTTCAACTTCCCGCTAATTCCATACCTATATAGACGCTTAAAATTGCACTTATGATGTTTTTGAGCTCTTCGGGCTCAAAAATACAGTTTATGTGTTATTTTGATCTCTACTAGCTTGAAGACACTATTTTAATAAAACACTATTTTTTGAACTTTCAAATCGCAATAACTTTGAAATGAATGAACCGATTTTCACGCAGTTGGCGGCATTCAATGCAGTTTTTAAGCCTCATAAAGAATTTTTAAGTTTGAATTGATCGATCAGAAATTTCGGAGTAATTCCGAAAAAACACTTTTTTCGGTTTTCTTTCGTTCACGATATCTCTTGAACGAATCAACCGATTTTGACTGGACTGGCGGCGATCGACATGGTTTTTTAAGGTTAAGAGCTGATAAGTTTTTGGAGTTGATTGATAGAGCTGTTTAAAAGTTATTCCAAAAATACCACATTCAAAAAAAATTTTTTTTTCATTTTTTTTGAGATTTTTCAAAATCTATCGATCCGAATCGGTTCAAATTCACAAGAAATCTAAGTTTGAGGGAACTCTTTGGAACCCCGTTTGGTAAGTTCCGAACGGTTTACACGGAAAAAAATTTATTGTTGCTGCAACAGGAGGCAGTCATGTTGCAGCAACAGGATTTTCCTGTAGCTGTAACAGGAGGCATCCATGTTGCAACAACAAGAAAAAATCCTGTTGTAGCAACAGGATTTTTTCCTGTTGTTGTGATTTGATAGTAAAATATAGTTGGGTCAATTCATGTCAAATCAACCAATAGTTGGAATCGACCCCTTTCGATTTGGATAAATTTTGGTCAGAAGTTTTCTTTTATCATACAACGAACTTCTGCCAAAGGAAAAAAATAAAAAAATTATTTGCAAAAGATATATGCAAATTCAAAATTTCGCGATTTTTCCAGTTTTTCAATTTTGTTTTTGTTATATCTCGAACGCTATTATAGATACAGGAATGGCCTTTCGTTTGTTTGAAAGGGGACACTTGGGGCTATTGAAAAAAAAATATATTGAACAATGCCAAATTTGTTAAATTTTGAATTTTTGAAAATTGTCAAAAATGACGATCTATTTTAAAATTTTAGCTCAATTTTTTTTTGTATAATACCTTGTAATGATCTTAAAAGATCCTGAAATTTTTAGAACTGTGTTTTTTTTTTTTTTAAATACGAATTTTTCAATTTCAAAAAAAAATTTTCTTTTGCTTTTTGCAACTTCTAAATAATGTAAAGTTATGCAGATATATAATATTGTAATTTTGAGCATTAAAAAGCTAAATGCACGACGTGGAAATATTAAATAATAAATTAATTTCAACTGTTTTTTCTATTTTTTGAACGTAATCTTAAAGTCAGGCTTAACACATAATATAATTTCTTATTTTTTTAACGCATGATATATTTTCTCCGTTTGTTCACTTCAATAAAAGTTTTTAACGTCAAATAACTCAAACAGATGTTAATTTCCAAAAATTCAAAATTTAACAAATTTGGTATTTTTCAAAATATTTTTTTTTTAATAGCCCCAAGTGTCCCCTTTCAAACAAACGAAAGGCCATTCCAGTATCTATAATAGCGTTCGAGATATAACAAAAACAAAATTGAAAAACTGGAAAAATCGCGAAATTTTGAATTTGCATATCTTTTGAAAAAATTTTTTTTATTTTTTTTCTTTGGCAGCAGTTCGTTGTATGATAAAAGAAAACTTCTGACCAAAATTTATCCAAATCGAAAGGGGTCGATTCCAACTATTGGTCGATTTGACATGGATTGACCCAACTATATTTTACTATCAAATCGCAACAACAGGAAAAAATCCTGTTGCTACAACAGGATTTTTTCCTGTTGCTGCAACATGGCTGCCTCCTGTTGCAGCTGCAGGAAAATCCTGTTGCTGCAACATGACTTCCTCCTGTTGCAGCAACAATAAATTTTTTTCCGTGTAGTCGTTCAAAAGTTATAAGCGGCCGCTTACGTGACCCGGGTCACATACTTTCACTCACATACACACACATATACATACAGACATAGTGACAACATCGCGGGGGTAGTCAGGGAAGCTTCCTGTGACCTTAAAACGTGGAGATCTGATGAAAACTCGCATTCTTAAAATCGTACCGAAATCTATAACTTCCTATTTCTGAAAATAAAATTTTCAAAACGGGAAGTTAAAATTGTTTTTATGGGGTTTTTATGGAATTCCGATTTTAGACGGCCCATAAAAAATTCAGAAAAACTCTAATTTTTAAATTCTTTTAAATACTGATAAAAAATAAACTTTTTCGAGAGAGAAAATCATTTTGAATAATTTTTTTAACGCTACAAGTTACAGTTTTACACCACGTAAGTAGAAAATGTATTGTAGTTTCATAATTTAATAAAGTTAATATTTGTATATTTCTAGCAAATGATAATTTTTACAGTTTTTAGAAAGAATATATGACGATTAAAATCAATAATTATTTTACATTTTATTATGTTAAGTTAATGTTTTTCAAACTGTTAAATTTACTGCTTGAGTTGTAACTCATTTGTTACTACATAAGAATTTAAAATTATAGCATGCATTTTAAATTTTACAATTTTCAATTTGACGAACTTGTTTTTAAATTTTATACTGTAATTGTTCTTGTTTTTTTTTTTCGGACAGTAGTGTGTATTATTTACTATAGACAATAATAACAGTAATAAATTGTGTGATGAAATTGCAATGAAAAAATCTTCAAATAAAACAATCACAATATTGTCGTTCAAAAAATAATTTTTTCTTTTACTGCATAACTATAAAGTTTTCCCGCGAAGGACAATGTTTGAATTCCACTGAAATTTGACTAAACTTCGATCAAGACTCTAAAATAGTTAAACTATGAGCGTCACGTAGCGATACCCGGGAAAAACGGATTAGATCTGGCCATATATAAACAGATCTGGCCAGATCTTTAAATTGTCTCTATCTGACGAGATCTGGCCAGATATAATCAGATCTAACCAGATCTGGTCAAATTTTAAAATTGCCCAGGTAAAAATGATTATATATAATTATATATACTCATACATAATTATATACGAAAAATGGCCATATATAATTATATACAATTATATAGAATTATTTTCATTAAAAAAAAAAAAAAAAATCGGGAACCGAACCTGGGACCTGACGCTTGGGAGACTAATTCATTACCTGCTTACCAACGAGACTTGCTTGAAACGAGAGTAGGTAGAGTTTGTAATAACTATAATTAATAACCTTAGCAGATCTGGCCAGATCTGTTTATATATAGCCAGATCTAATCCGTTTTTCCCGGGAGGTTGTTTATTGTGAACTCAAGTACATTGAACCTTTGAAGTTAATAAGCTTAAGAGTTGAAGTCATAATCGATGTAAAGAGTATGTGTAAAGTTAAAGATCACCAGAAGTGTAACGATGAGAGATTGAGAGTCAACACATGCTCATCAGTTCTTGGTGATGATGTCATTGTACTCCATCAGCTAATTAATTCGGAAATTTATCGTTTCCCATGACGCATTGTTTATATGTTCCAGCCACGCATAACATATGTGATACCTACGGAACGTGGTATTTAAGGTCAAAGATGTTGGCAACGGGACGTCGTTATCATTATTATTTATGTACTTTACCAAGGACGAAATGTAACGACACATCGTCAATCTCTTAAGATTGAGAGTTAACATGCTAATCAGTCCTCGGTACTGATGTTATTGTATTTTATCAGCTACGATTTTAAGGGGTCGAGTCCAACTATTGGTCGATTTGACGTGGAATGACCCTATTGGGAAATTTATCGTTTTCCATGACGCATTGTTTGTGTGTTTCAGCCACGCATAACATGTGTGATACCTACTGAAAGTAGACATTTGATGTCAAAGTTAATATTGGCTACGTGACTTCATTATCATTGTTATTTATGTACGTTACCAAGAAACTGGTCACTTAAATAATTACGACCACGGTCATTATCTCATTAGTATTCATTCCAAAAATACACCGTTAGAATACCAGAGCTCATCGGGTATGCACGGCATGTAGACTATACATTAGGGTGTGCCAAAATTCAATTTCCATGAGGAACCTTTTAAAATTGGAATTTTGAGTTTCGCTTTTAACAGGAGCTGTGTTTGGGCATTTCTTGAGATATTTTGAAATTTCAGCGGAATTTCCCGGAAAGTAAAGCTCCTGTTAAAAAATTCTATGAAAACCAAATAAATCATTTTCCTCCAAAATATCTCAGAAAATGCCCAAACAGCTCCTGTTAAAAGCAGAACTCAAAATTCCAATTTTAAAAGGTTCCTCACGGAAATTGAATTTTGGCAAACCCTACTATACATACTGTGTAGTAATTTTTTTTTTTTTCGAATTTACGCAATTCTTTTATCGTAACGAATTGATGCGCATTCTATCAATAGTACATACTTTCTTCTTCTGCTAGAAACGTTTCGCAATCTCATTTAGTCGTTTCATGACTACATTCATCCAGATGATAGAATAAGATTCCTTTCTACGAGTTGATGAACGAGAGCTAGACTAAAAACTAAAAGGAAGGGACGGTACAGGAATTCACTCCACCCCTAAATCGTGACTCACAGAGTCATATTACATACCACCATTGCTTCTATCCCCACTCACTCCCGGAAAGAGCTTTCCAGATCCCGATCCACTCATGGCTTCCCTTCAGAAGCTTTCAATTGGTCCCTGGGTACACATACGTCACACAAGGAATCTTATATAAGCGTCTCATTGTCTTCGATAATCTCATTTCAGTTTTCGTGGGTCATAAAGTGAAGGTGAATAATGTGGCTTCCGAACGAAATCATTATGCTGTTGTTAAAAGCTCCGGTTATTTCATTCATTTTGGCAGTTGGAAGTGGATGTGAGTATTTATAGTATAAAATATAATTAACGTAGTGCTTTATAGTTTGGTAATGCCATGAATTCATTTTTCAATAATGTTCAGACATTATTTTCATTAATGTACAGAATGGCTTTATATGGATTGTGAAAATTATATTTACAAAATAAAATATGATTGAGATTCTTGATAATTTATAAATTTGATACTAAAATTTAACTAATTGTAAGTGATACTAAAATTTGCTGATACTATCTACACGGTATTTACGCTATTATTACTTTATGTTTCAGTGTCTTCAAATGGCGGTTCTAATATATTCGTGGATGCAAACCCCGCGCAGTATATAATTCTTGAAATAAATACGGATTCAAAGAAAGAAGTCTATCTGGTTCAATTTGCAGACCAACCTCAATCTCCGAAGTTTCATGACTCACATCGACAGATAACTTCTAATATTATCGAAGGAGATGACGACATTCGGCACAAAAATTCCAATATCATCGAAAAAGATGATGAAATTCGACAGGTAAAATTGCATATTTTCGGAACAAATAACGGCGATCGACAGAAAAATTCCAATATTATCGAAAAAAATGACAACATTCAACAGATAAATTCCAAAATCATCGAAAGAGATGACAACAATCGACAGATATCAGATACCTTCGACAGTAACGACATGAGTAATCAGGCTGATTCAAAAGGCACGATCTCGACGTTTGAATGTCACAGGAAGCTTCCCTGACTACTTTTTACGATTGATGTCCGTACGTCTGTGTGTGTGTGTGTGTGTAAACCTGTTGTAACTTTTGAACGACTCGACCGATTTCATCGCGGTTGGTGTCATTCGAAAGGGCTTCACTAAACTTAGATTTCCTGAAAATTTGAACCGATTCGGACCGGTAGATTTTGAGAAAATGCAAAAAAAGTGAAAAAAAAGTTGCACCAAAAACGTTAGAATCGGTTGATGCGTTCGTGAGATATCGTTGTCGAAAAAAATCGAAAAAAGTGTTTTTTTGTAATAACTTCGAAATTCATGGTTCGATCGATTTAAACTTGAAAATTTTTCATGGAGCTTCAAAAACTGCGTCGATTGCCGCCAACCACATTAAAATCGGTTCATTCATTCAAAAGTTATTGCCGTTTGAAAATTAAAAAAATTGTGTCTTTAAACTGCTATTAAAGTTTAGAGCTCAAATTGACACAAAAATAATATTTTTGAGCTCGAAGAGCTCAAAAACGTAATGTGTAGTTTGAAGCGTTTAAATACAAAATGAGCGGGAAGTTGCAGGGATGGCCTTTAGGGTGAACCATTTTTCTAATTTTTTTTTTTTATATAAATACAAGATAGGATAATTATTCATAAAATAATCAATCGAGTAACGAGAGCTATGATTGGTTTGATATTCGTGAAATAACTAGTAAATATCATTTGAAGTAAATATAATATGGAATAAAAAAAAATAATAATAGTAATAATAATAATAATAATAATAATCATCATCATCATCATCATATATAGAAGAGATTGGGTTATTTGGTAAGAAGTAATATTTGTGTGAAGATTATCATAAGAATAATAGACGGGTAACATCGATACAAATAGCAATCGATATTTTGAGGAATATAAAACCCCTCAGCAGAGCACGGGTTGATTCGAATACGCTCCCTTGAGTCTATTCTTCCATACTTACACGTACACGCGGATACCATAATACGTATCTACTACTTATCGGGTGTGCAGATACCGGTGCTTTTCAATTTTCGTAGGACGCCTACAACCTCAACTACTGCTATTACTACTATTACTACAGCCACAATCACTCCAACTGATGTTACTAATATTTTTTTTCCATTACCACGTATTACTTTACTTATAAAGAAGCTATGTAAATGAGGGAGATTCGGGTTTTAAGAAAAAAATTTTTTATACAAAACAAGATCCTTTATTGTTATCATTATGTCAATAATAATAATAACATCACGAATTTTGTGAAAATATTTTTATAATCATTCGGAATACCTTTAAAATTTTTTATTAATATACCTACCATCAGTGTGATAATTTGATGACCGATAATTTATCATTCATTTCAAAACACTTAATTTTTTATTTACAATAAAAAAATCTAAATATAAATCTAAAATATAGGTTTTTAAATTATATTAATTAAAAGAAATTACAACACGAGGCGATATTTAGTAAAAGTATAATAATATGTTTATTGATAAGGGAAGTACTACACACAACTGTTTCCTAGCCTTGGTGGTATTAGACTAACTTAAAAACTATCCCTTAAAATTACCTGGACCCCGTGTAAAAATGATATGATATCTCATATTTTGGCACTAATATGAGATTCATATAAGAGCCATATCAATACTTTAGAAACCCGTAATAAGTAAAATACCTGTGGGAACGAATTTTTTTAAAGTATAGATCAGTAAAAATTTCATTTTTTCTGTTAATCAGAGGAAATGTATAATAATTGAGAAAAACAGTATTTTTATCATGCACTATACTATTGAACTACTTAACTTTTCTCCTTGTCTTTCTTAACTTAGAAGAATATTTAGAAAAACACTATCTTGGTTTAAAAAAAATTTTTGACTGAAAAGATTTTTTCGTTTCAAGATAATTATTTTCTTATGTTGAAAACAATTTAAATCCTCCTAAAAATGTTTTTAATTTAATTATTTTGCAATATTTCTTGTATATAGTTATGACTCAATAATTTCATATCACGATTTAAAAAGACTAACAATATCATTATGATTTTATAAAGATATGACCATCATTTAATTATTAATTCATTTTAATATCATTATGATTTCATAATGAAATTATGTTAATATCATCATGCACAGAAAAAAAAAATTAACTTGATTCAAGAGAAAAATTCTTGATTTAAGTAAAATTTCCTTAAATCAAGAAAAATGTTCTTATAAATCCAGAATTTCTCTACTTAAACCAAGAATATTGAGCTCTCCAAAAATATATACTTGATTCAAGAACATTTTTTTTTCTGTGTGGAGATACTGTCCTAATGAATTTCCAACAGTTACAAAAAAGTTTTTTTCTTGAATTATGAATAGAAGGCAACAATATTATTACAATATTATGATGAATTAAAAAAAAATATCAGCCTGATTCCATCATAAGTTTACGCAGTTACTATTATGACTTCAGTATGAAATTATGCGTTTGTCACTATGGATTTGTCACGAATCTCCATGAGACCGATCCGTGTGAATAAAATTTTATATTTAATAATAATTTTAAATTACTAGAAATTTGCTTTCTCCAACAAGAGAAATAAAAATTTTATAATCTAGTTAAAAAAAATTCGTTTCCATAAGTATTTTACTTAATACAGGTTTCAAATATATTGATATGGCTTTTATATGAATCTCATATTAGTGCCAAAATATGAGATTCATTATGATATTCATTATGAGCCTCATAATGATATTATATCGCTCGTTCTCTCACTCGCACTCAAGCTACAATATTCTTAACCATCTTACGGAGTAACTATATTTTGACATCTAGTGACAGCATACTAGTTACTCATCTAATCCTTAAATTTACAACTTAAAACTACTTAAAAACGAGTATTTTTACTAAAGTAGAAGCATAGAAAATATTTACCACAAAATATTTTTCCTACTTCTACATAAATGTAAATAGAAATATTTTCATAATACTGAATTCATTCTATTTTAAAAACGAATCATTATATTAGCTTCTTTTATATGAATTGATGCTCCCCACGACCAGCAACACTTGCTTTGCTCGTGTCTCAAATGTCAGAGTAGATATCAATTTTTTTGAATGTAATTTTTTCCGTAAATATCAGTTGTGTGTAGTTATTTGATTCCCTATACCTCTTTATACCACTGTTTGTAGTTTTTGAAAAATTCCCCGGATCAAAAAATTTAATCTGTTTTACGATTAATGAAAATTTTTAATATTTTTCATTCTATTTAATTTTATTATATGTATCTATTTTATATTAGAATTTAATCTGTTTTTGCCCGTACTATTCCCAATTCAGACCAATTTCAGATCATTTTTGATGTTACAATAAAATTGTTTTCTATTGTTTCAAGACCAAAATCAGACTTTTTTGTCACAATCATTTAGCTGGTTTTGATTGTATCAAGGTCAAAAACAGACCAAAACGTTCCATAATTTTTAGTCGGTTTTTCATCGCCTGTAGATCAAAAACCGACCTTTTACGAATTTGATAATAATAATATATTTATTTATTATTATTTTATTCATGTCCTCGAAGATCCTCTACAGGGCACGGCTTTTCATTCTCTGAAACTGAAATAGTGACCATTCACTATTTCGTAGTGCAATGTATACCAAACGGTATTCTTCACACTACCAAATAGTGAATACCGCTCATTAAATGATGCGTGAAAGTATAAAATTTAACATTAATCTTGTCAACATTTTAATCTTGTCTTGACGTATTCACATTGTGTTTATTAACGATAATTAGAAAATTCTAGATTTAGATCCATAATAAAACGATGAGAACTATTTTCTATACGTATGTTAATACAAATTTATTAGTTATCACTGCAACTAATATTCGCAGTTACAAAACTTTTATAATCCATGAAATATTAAGCTATGATAAATAAATATGACAGATGTAAGGTTATAATCGACGTTCAGTTCATAAAACAAGAGAGCGCATGAATATAATATAAATTAATTTATTTTTTCAAATAAATGCGACTTATAATTTTTAATGAGATACTTTTGAGTTAAAAAAATTATAAGTCACCATCTTAGTCGACTTTTGGCCTTCGAACATTTAGCGTGAAAATTGTAGATCAAAAACAGTATAAGATTTCAGATTGAATTTGAAAACAATACATAAAGTCCATCTACAAATTAACTAGACTAAAAACCGATCAAAAATAATTTGAATAGTAGATCAAATACAAATGAAAATGTTTTTAAAAGTTCAAATACAGGTCAATAAGTTCAAATGCAGATCATTTAGCTTAAAATCAGTTTAAATTTTTTGACCCGGGTCTCTTAGTAAAGTAGAAGGTATGTAAATGCTTCATAGAGTTCAATCACTGAAAATTATTAAAATAAAATGAACGGTTGATTTCATAAATAAAATAAAATAATAATAATATTGATAATAACAATAATAATAATAATAATAATAATAATAATAATAATAATAATAATAATGATAAAAAGGTGTATAAACAGCTAAACTGGTATTTCGTTGCCTTCTTTTCTTGGTTTAGCTCCTGTTTATCCTGATAGTGATGGTGATGGTGATGTTAGGGCTGGTGGCACTGATGCAGTTGTTGGTGTTACTGTTGGTGCTGCGTAACGTAAAAGTTTCACTCGATTTTACTCCTCTGAGAGCTCGTAGAGATAAGCTGGGGCACTATCATTTTGTCTTGCTTTTACTCAGCTTTTTTTCGATTTATACTTTTTTCAGCTGAGTTGTGTGTCTCGTGTCTCAGTCTAACGGAAAGCCCGACGGGAACGAGCCGGGAGCCGGATCCACCAGCCGAGAAGAAGCGAAAGAGATGTCGTCATCTACGGAAAATGTTTTAAAATAGTGAATAGTGTGAATGTGAGAGAGTGTGAAAAATAAAATGAAATAAAATAAAATAAAAAGTTGTATAAAATGGAGTATGCAGGAAAAAGTAAGGTAAGAGTAGGAAAGTAAAGGGTTCTGCGTAACGCTTGCTACAGACATTGACTTCTTATTTTACGGTCCACTGTGAAACGTCTTCAGCTCGGTGTTCCCACACTTGTAAGTCACTCTGTTTCGTTCTCACGATTATAGCAATATAACAACGTTCGGAATCAGGAGTTCGTAAAAACCCGCTCAACTTTCGAAAAGTAAATAAGTTACCAAATACATTGGATGGTGATCAAGGAAATGGACACTTGTTGTTTAGAGTTAAGATGCTTTTTATCCTTTACAACGAAACATTTTTTAATAATCTTATTCACTTTTATCATGCAAGCTTACCAAGCACAGAAAAAATATTTTGGCTTAATAAAATTTTTAGAAAAACGGCAGATATCTAGATCCAAGTAATTATTTTCTTGACATCGAACTTTCAAAAGCTTCAAACGATGCTGATGATAAGTTTATTTTTCACTCAATAATTTTTTATTTTTCCATTGAAACATAAAATATTTCAGATTAAAAAATTAAATTAAATCTCTATATGCAAGTAATTTATTTCACATACTTCAAAACGAAAGAATTCAACTCACAAACTTGATGTTCTTGGTTTTAGACAATCCGACAAAACCATTTATTACTGATGTATCAACAGAGTCCGGCCTCGACTATACGGAAAAAAAATATTGTTAAAATGACTATCCACCGTATCAAAGAATAGCTCTCGTAAATATATCTAGTTTCGCCAAAACATGCAACAGTTTTGTCAACACGAGAATCTGGTATAGCTAAGTCAACTAAATGTAACGCCTAAAATAATGTTAATCGGCTCGTTCAAGTTTACTAAGTACTTAGCGAGACTGAGCTTAGATTAGTATACCTTGCATTGTTTTCTTATAGATATTCTTTAAAGAAAATGTAGTCACTTTTAGTTGTTGGTACATGATCTACTAAGATCTCTCAAGAGCTTAGTAAACTTGAACGAGTCCAATGATCGTCATTTTGATAATTCGCTGTATAGTTGATTGAATTGGCTATACAGCGTATCTTTAAGAAAGTGATTAAACGGCGTTATAGTCAGAATAGCGATACATATCTCATTCTGACAATATTTTTTTCTCCGTGTATATTTATTATTATTTTTAGTTTGTAAAATTATTTATATTTTGAAGCCAAGAACTCTGATGTATTTACTTTTCGGGCTAAGAGACTAATTTCTTAAATCATTAAGGGCTGATTTTTCAATCCGAGATAAAATTTTATCCGATGCCAATATATATATATATATTAGGGTGGGCCAAAATGTAACTTCCTTGAGCGACCTTTCAAAATTGGAATTTTGATTTCCGCTTTTAACAAGAGTTGTGTTTGGGCATTTCCTGAGATATTTTGAGGGTAAGGGATTTATATGATTCTCATAGAATTTCTTAATTAACAAGAGCTTAGTTTGGGCATTTCCGCTGAAAATTCAAAATTTGACCGGAAGTGCCCAATTGAATCTCCTGTTAAAAATTCTATAAAAATCATATAAATCCCTTACCCCCAAAATATCTCAGGAAATACCCCAACACAACTTCTGTTAAAAGCGGAAATCAAAATTCCAATTTTAAAAGGTCGCTCAAGGAAGTTACATTTTGGCCCACCCTA